TAATAATAAAGCTTCTTTCGATGTTCTTATTTGGACTAAATCTAAATTTTGGATGATTGTATGTGAACTATCAATCTGTCTTTAGTCGCTCATATTACATTTTCTGCACTTGAAATGTAACAGTTTATTAAAAAAGGAAAGGTAAAATTGCAATTAAAAAAAATCAGATCTATTACTTGCAATTGTGTATAACATGGATGAAAAATTTATATTTCACAGTTCTTTAATAAAATATCTAAATGAAACATTAATGAAAAAGAGCTTTAATTTAAACTAAGTCTAAATTTCAGATGATTGTTTGTGATCTATTAGATCTCTGTCCCTTATATTATACATATTTTCTTCACTCAAAATGTGACTATATTTCTAGATATTTTGAAGGCAAACGAAAAAAGAAGATAGAAGTGCAATTGAGAAAACGAAATCTATTGCTTGCATACAATTGTGCACAACATGGATGCAAAATTATTTCTCACAACTCTCTTTGATGTATTATTAATACATCAAATATATTTTTCATTAATATATTATTAATGAAAAAAAAATATACAGTTATGAAGTTTTCTATCAGAAATATACTAAATCAGAATCATTTACAACGATAGTGAAAAGAGAATTGAAGTTTCAATATCAAAGAATTTTTTGACGGATTCTTCCACAGCTCTCTTCTCTTTTTATTATTTTATTTATTCTTTTAAAACCGGTGTTCCGAACACCCACGCATCAGTTTAAATGGAAATTCTTTTGGAGAGTTCTACTTTAAATCACGAGCGCATCTTTTCGATCTTCCTAAGAAAGCAGTCGTAAGTTTATTTACGACAGAGTAAATGACTCGAGTAATACGTATTTATTTATCATTTGGAAGGGAAAGCGGAGAAATTATCAACGTTTGTAGACCGCAGTTCGATTGGCGACGAGTTTCGGCTCTTCTTAACTTCTCCAGGCGATGCGCGTGCCTGAAATAATAATACTTTATCCGCAAGACACACTTTACACAGCTCGTTACCTCCACTAACATCAGCTTAAACAAAATGCTAACAACTGCATAATAATCCTGGAAAATTTTTACACACTGTTTCTATTTGCTATATAGAACAAAAGTTTTAAATATAAAATTGTATTTAACTTTATAATGGTTATATAAGTATTTGATTAATTGAATATTTGGAAACATTTTTCGCAAATAAATGTTGAGTCGAAGAACAGTCAAGAAGGGGGTCACAAAGGTTATCTATGGAATACATGATCTCAAGTAGAGTATCTCGTTGCGTAATCGCTTTTTAATCGCTGCTTGAATGATTATAAACGCTGCTCTTTAGTTTAATCATAATAGCACGAACACAATGTCTGTTATATTAAAACAAAATGCGGCTTCTACATGATTCATGCATAGAAATATAATTTATCGTTCAAGTCTCTCAATGAGGATTGAATGATGTAATAAATACGTGATGTGATCGTTTATGAAACGATGACCTAATTTTAATAATTCGACTCTGTTCTTTTGGCATGCAACCAGACCGATTCTTATCATTACATTTCCGGCGTTGCTCATCGCGCAAGCAGATACGAAACTCGAGAGATACTCTAATTATGAAATTTCTTGATTTAACGACGATTTATAATTCGTTAAATTAACGCTGATCGTTCATTTTAAAATATAAATACTAGATCAATTCATCTTATCATTGACAGCATTCAGCAGAAAAAGTAATTTTTTGTAACTGTCGTAAGATTCTTTAATATGATTAGTTCTTGCTCCTATATAGTTCCTCGCTGAATCTAAATGTAATATGTACCAATCATATTAAAAAATATTATAATAGTTGCAAAGCTGCTTTTCTACTGAACACAGCTATTAATACATTGTACGCATTTTTAATTTTACAATTTTCTTGTAAGTCATTCCAAGGAGGCTGTTATTTTAATAGTTGCTCTTTTCCTTTAATCGCCTTCCAAATGAAATGCTCTAAAAGCAACTTTCCTCAAATTTCCATGGGTTCTGCGTTCTAAGAATATCTCGTGTTGCTTGCGTAAGTATATCGACAGCTCAGTAATACAAGCGCTGGAGACGCGTGTTCTCTCTCAACGCAGCCAGCGTATGTGCTGCGGCTCTCGTGGGCGCTACTTCTCGGCATGACATCACGAGTTTGGCGTAATGCAAACGAGTTCATCGGCTGGATGAACAATGAAGGAATCAATATATCGTAGCCCCGATGCACAAGCACGGTTCATCCTCGAGAATCGCTGGCAATAATTCTTGTCAATCCGCTTAATCTTCTTTCCTGTATGAATTTAACAATTTAAACTCTTTAAGAGACAAGACAAAGAAAAATTTTTTATAAAGATATGACAATTTCTATACGTTGTATACTCTTTGACAAAAAAAATTACACACAGGTTTAGAAAAAGACTATTGTTTCAAAAACGTTGACAAATGTAGCAAAACGTCACAGGAGTCTTTCAATTCTTTTCGATGAGACCTGTGATAAAGATGTTACGTGTTGAAGCCATATTTATTACTGTTATTGAGAAAACGATCTCAACATTTAGACCTATGCGTAACTTTTTTTGTTAAAAAGTGTGTTTTCGATTATCATGTTCTTCATCTCACAGTTAATTATAACATATATGTTTTTTAGATGTCCTGGTATTTACCGTCGCTTCCAACGAGACAGATGGCTTCAGAAGGTACCTGAGATCGGCCGAGATCCATGGATTTCATGATAAATTGAACGTCCTTGGTCTAGGCGAGCCTTGGAAAGGCGGTAACGTTGTGCGTTATGCCGGCGGTGGATATAAAATTAATCTCCTCAGGAAAGCCTTGGAAGACTATCAGAATGATGAAAAGAAGATTATTTTGTTCACTGATAGGTGGGTACAGCCTCCCTGATAGTATGGAACATTTCAACAATATTACAGCAACATTGAAACATTCCAGTAATATTATAAGAGTGTTATTGCATTATTGCTAGAATGTTCTGGGCCATCTGAACTATTCTGTTACCGCAGAGAAGATATTTTATAATGTGTATATTTCCTGCTTTTAGCTATGACGTTATATTTCTTGGCGATCTATCCACCATCGTCGAGCGTTTCCTGGATACCGACGCTCGAGTCTTATTTTCCGCGGAGGCGTATTGCTGGCCGGATAAATCCCTGGCGACTCAGTATCCGCCCGTATCAAGGGGCAAACGATACTTGAATTCCGGTGGTTTCATCGGTTATGCGACCGATGTGTATAAGATCTTAGAGACAGCTGTTATCAAGGACGAGGACGATGATCAATTATTCTACACGACCGTGTATCTGCAAGATGAGCTCAGGTTGCGGCACAAAATCAAGCTAGATCACAAATCTGAGATATTTCAGAATCTCTACGGTGCGGTAGGTAAGGGCAAGCGGAATCCGCAACAAAGAGCGTCAATATACATTAATCGTATTTTATTCAGTCAACCAAGTATGTCAAAAATAAATTTTGTCAGATGCTTGCTACAAATTTTGTCGATCAAATTTGATTCACATTCTATTATATCATTTGATGTTAGCATTCAGTGGCAGATATATAACAAAATCTACTGACTAATATGAGAATAAATTGTCAGCAAAAACCGTGCGAGCTTGTTGACAGCTTGCCGCAAATTGACTACAAAAACCATCAAAACTAAAACTGGTTAAAGTTTTGCTTAGTTTGTGTAGAAACTCTCTTGGAGGTCTTTAAGTTTGCCGACAATTTCCCCTCACATTATGTCAGCAAACTTTGTCGATAAAACAAGCTTAATGCAAACACAGTTATTGCCAATTTGTTAATATTTTTGATTGAATTTGTCAGCAATTTGTAAGCAAATTGCTAGCATTTTGCTGACTGAATAATTTATTGTCCTTTACAGCCGATGTGGAGCTCAGGTTTAAAGGAGAAGAGGCTTATCTTCAAAACATCGTCTACAACACAGTGCCCCTGGTGCTTCATGGCAACGGACCCAGCAAGCTGGTCTTAAATTCCTTAGGCAATTATCTGGCCCGCGCTTGGACGCCGGATGAGGGGTGTTTGGCGTGCTGGGACCAAACCATTGAACTCGACAAGACCGAACTGAAAACGTATCCGGTTATTCTAATAGCCATTTTTATCGAGCGTCCTATGCCGTTTCTAGAAGAATTCTTCCGAGCTATCTATCGCCAATACTATCCAAAGTCGAAGTTACATCTGTTTGTTCACAACAACGTTCCCTATCACGAAGACGTGGTGGATGATTTCTTCGAGAAGATTGGCCAGGAATACTTGAGCGCGAAGCGAATATTGCCGAGCGACGACGTCAGCGAGGTTGACGCGAGAAAGTTGGCAATGTAAGCAAAGCTCATAACTCTGCGAATATAATTTAAAGCACAGACTTTTATACCGTTAACATCTAGTAAATTCGCGGTAAAATGTGAAATTGGTAACTATATTTACTGAGGGATAATATGCAATGTGCAGTAAGAATATGTGATTTAATCTAAATAAATAAAAGATAATATTTTTAATTTTAAATAAAAATATTGAAAAATACCTATAACGTGAGATAATAAAATTTGATATGATTTTTGTCCAACACTAAATATAGCGACACGATTTTATCATAAAGCTCGCTGTTAACGGTCCATAATACGTAAAAGTCTGTGATTTAAAGACTCGAGACGTACACTATTTAACGCTAGAGCGAGTGAAAGGACGCGTGACATTTATAGGAATGCTAAAAAGTGGTCTGTTTCAGGGAGCATTGCTTGTTGAAAGAATGTTCCGGATGTCTGTCGATCGACGCAGTCGCACATCTGGACAATGAGCACACGTTGAAGTTACTGGTGAAGCAGCAGAGAGGAATCGTCGCGCCCTTGCTCATACGACCATTTAAAGCGTGGAGCAATTTCTGGGGCGCCATAACGGACGACGGATTTTACGCGCGGAGCTTCGATTACATGGAGATAATAAAAAACGAACGAAGGTAAAGCGAAACATACAAATATCAATCTTCTATATTTTTCGCTTGAACTACAATATGTACGCCTGAAGAAGCGTCGATTATTATTATTCTAGATAGACGCCGATTGCAACGCTGCGCTTCGATAAGATTGAGAACAATTTCTCGCATTCCGGATTAGGACAATTTTAGTCTCCTGCGAGTCGTTCTAAATCGTTTTCTTAGGGTCTATCGTAAAAAGTTTACGTGTTACCTGGGCTTTATATGTTTTCTTATCTAATTGTACGTGTTTGTTTGCGGTCTCCCGTACGCTCGCACTAATCGAAAGCGATGGAGAAGTCAGTCTTGAAAGACCTTCGATCGATGCTGTACATATTATCCGCTGTGCATTCGTAGACTCCCGCGTCCATTTGAGTAGCGGGATCGATTTCGAGTTTCGATTTCACTTTGTCAGGACCGACTTGCCACTCATGTATCTGTAGAGAACGGATATATAATATCGTTAGTATTGATAAAATATCAAGCCATTATTGATTGTAGGTGCAACTCAATTGACTGCTCTTCACAATTCCGTAATTAATAATTTTACATTGAAAATGTGCATATATTCACTGACATGTAGATAGTGATGCGTATAAATCTCGGCGCCATCCTTGAACCACGTAACATGCGGGCGTGGATTGCCACGAGCGACGCAGAGGAAAGCTATTTTGTGTCCCAGGACGTACTCTAGATCGAAGTGCGACGCTAAAAGTATTTTGGCTCCCTAAAAGAAATTAATATACACCGGTGACAATAAGAGAGATTTACATTGAGACAGATTATTTTAGATTAAATTGAGATAGTGATCTCTTTCTCATTGCATTGCACTTAGAAGAAAAGACAATGATAGTAATCATATAAATGGCAATTTATTTAAGTTTTATATGAAAATTAATATGCATAGTTGAATAAACTATCTTGTAATTATTCAACTATAAAATAATTTATTTAACTATATTATGTACATTAATTCTACACAATATAAAACTTATATAATTGTCATCTATAGTTGTCATCATTGTCATTACGTTTTTCTCTGAACTGGAGTAGTGCAAGAACGAAAACGTTCCTCTCATCGAGCAATCTCCTTTTCTACGTACGTTATTATTGTTGTAATACTGATCGCTCTCCGGATCGCGGTACTTTCCGGTAATGGGCAATCCGATTTGCACACGGGACTTGCTCCTGCTCCTTCCTCGTCCTCTTCTACCAAGTGTCTCTTGACAATTGAGCAATAATATACCCAACAAGATTAGCAACAGCATGGAGCGTGACATGATAATCTAATAAAAGTGGAATAGAATGGAACATTACACATAATATCTTACACGATTTTTCAAACTTGCAGATTCATGTGTCGCTCGTGCCACTTGATTTTGGATCGAAATAATCCGCAATTAATACGAATCGAGATTGAAGTCTTGTTATTATAAGATTATATAGAAACGTGTGGAAAATGCTAAAATGATCGCCTGATGTTATTATTTATCAGAGCGGAGATAGGCTGAGGATACTCACTGTACGTTGTAGCGTTCGTAGATCACACGGAACTCCGATGTAACTGACAGTCACCTACTCATTACTCCCCTAGTGTCCTCTCGCATCTATTACAGACTTATATGCAGATAATGTATGTCGGGCTATATGCACGTCGGTTATTCCTTTACACTACATGATCGCCATCAATTCCTATCAAATATGCAGAGCGCTTATCCATTAATTTAACCATTTGCTCATTCCTTCCGGATGACTTAGATTTCCGGTACAATTGCAAGTTTAAATTAGTTACCTGTGATGCGTCTTAATAAAAATTTGCAACAATACGTCATGCGTATTCAAATTCAAGAATTAAAGCCAGGAAACGGAAGCTGTATAGAGGAGAAATAACTGTAATTATTATACACAGCGTTTGTACAATATTCATGCAGATTGTTTATTTCACACTGTGCTACAGATTGTCGCGGTTATTGGCGACGACGCAGCGAGAGAAGTATGCCACTGTCGCACAATGCAATTGCCTTGTTAAATTTGCAGTGATGGACCATTTTCGATATATTCCTCGCGTATCCCCTTATAACAGTCAATCATGCTTTAACGAATTGGGGGGAACCATCGGATTTGTTTTCGTACCTTCGCACGTCCGTTGGTAATCCAAAAGAGGTCTATTTTGCTCACATCAGAAGGAGAAAGACAAATTGTTATGACCTTAATTTTTACGTCGCTGACGCCACGTAGAAAGTTGGACTAATTTCTTAAATATCACAACCTCCTTCTGGGGAGGATAAAAAAAGCAACTAACAATAACATAACATCAGTGTTAAAATTTTACACTCAACAATCTAACTGTTATATAACAAATACGCGTAATTACATTATTAAGTGTAAAATTGTAACATTGATGTTGTTTTTACTGGATGTTGTTTAACTGGTTTTACTGGGCTATTTCCCTTATTAATTTGGATCAGAGCTTTATCGAGTATATAAACTAACTGCTTATCAAATAAAAATCTATCATGTAACAAATCAATAACAAACTGTCTATATCTATTTTCACACAAGATATTCGTTCTAATACTATGGCGATCGCGCAGCTACCCATCAGGGAAAACGTTTAATACGAGATCATGACGTAATCCGTTCTGAAGCCTCTGCGATCGACGGCGTACTGATTGTCCGCCTGGCACTCGTAATATCCGGCGTCCTTCTGCGTTGCAGGGTCGATCTCCATTTTCGACTTTATCGTGTCATTACCAACAGGCCACTCGTGCACCTGGCAATTCAAACGATCTCCAGATTCTCGCGATATCCGAGAAACCAATTGTCCATCTTTAACAGTGGACTGCTTTTAGGGAAGACCAGTTCCAGATTTTAATTGTGGATTAGCTTACCTGGAAGAACTTGTGATGGTACAACTCGATCCCGTCCTTCAGCCAGGTGATCTCCGGTCTTGGGACACCGATCGCCATGCAGAAGAACGTGATCTTTCTGCCCAGCATGTAGTCCAGTTCGAAGTGGGATGCCTTCACGATCTTGGCACCCTGCGAAAAACCCGGGAAATGGTATCACTAGATCGCGACACAGATACACAAGATACACATCATCGTCCTTATTCTCACACTCACATCCTTGTTCTCGTAATAGTGCGTACTCGCAGGATTTCGATTGGGTATCAGGATATGCATTCGCGAGCCGAACAGTCTTCCTCGGCCGCGGCCTCTCCCTCTACCACCGCCGCCCTTCGCTGCTTCTGTGCTTATCATTAGGGCCGCTAATAGAAGCAAATAGAGCAGTCGGCATCTCGTCATTTGATCTATAACCAGAGTGAACCCGAGAAACTTAGACGACTGAAGAGTGACCAACAACGCACGCGGGCTTCGCCACGAACACTTTATATACCTTATCGCGAACTCATTTATCACTATTATATAGTATTATACCCACTACTCTTTTTATATACATATATATTACATTATATTGCTATATCGATTCGCGGCCGTGAGAAATTCGATGATGAGATCAATGGATCGCGTTCCGCAGGCAATAACGTGCCAATTTACAATGTAATCGCAGCGCAATGCAATTCATCAACATGCACAAAGAGCATTTCGCTATTCTTACCAGGAAGATACGGAGGACTTGGCTGATCTCTGGCACGAGCGTATTATGGATCCGCTAGGTCCTACCACCTAAAATACGAATGAAACCACGAGGCGACGCGCGCAGTCACACGCTGATGTACTGAGTTATGAATCTCAATTGGATAATTATGCATAACTCATTGCCAAGTATGTTCAACGGCCAATCGCGGCTACCACTGCGATCACCTTACAAAACACTTAAGCGACGACCTCCGGAAAACAAATGCCATCGTGTTCGACCGTGGGGCAAACAAGTGCTCTCTGCTAGTTGCGCTCGTTGCACGCCTTCTCCGAAGCGCTCCTCCAATATGCAATTCGCCGAATCACGTTGATGCCTGTTTCAGGGGACTGTGGAACGTGCCATTCGTCAGTAACTGCTACTTGATCAACGCGACGATTATAGCAAACAAGGCGACCCGGCCAACCTATGAGGCTGGCGACTTGGACACGGAGATGGCATTCGCCCATGGAAATCGACAGCGGGGCCTGTTTATGTATGTCAATAACCGGCTCGAATTCGGCCATCTCGTCGATCCCGATACCTACGACATCCGACTCATCTATCCGGACATGTACCAGATCATAGAAAATAAGCTGGACTGGGAGAAAAGATACATTCATCCGAATTATAGTGAGAACTTTAATCCCGACAAGAAGCCGATACAGGTAAAGATGATTAACCGTAAAGAATTTCTCTGAATTATCACTTCTACTACTTCCTGTTCAACTTGATTCTTTGCAGCCATGCCCGGACGTCTATTGGTTTCCCATTGTTAATCTCAGGTTTACCAAGGAGCTCGTAGGAATCGTTGAGACTTTCGGACAATGGTCGGATGGAACTAATCATGTAAGTTGAGAGAAATTCTCCTTATGAGTCTTTTATCGCCAATTAACTTACAATTAGTAACGTTATTAGAATTTTTGTACTGTGCAATTTACTTTCTTGGCAGGATTCACGATTGTCGGGTGGCTACGAAAACGTGCCAACCCGCGATATTCACATGAACCAAATTCAGTACGATCAACAATGGTTGTATTTCTTGAAAGAATACGTTAGGCCGTTGCAGGAACTCGTCTTCACCGGCTACTTTCACGATGTAAGATTTATTTATGTTCACTGATCTTTCTAGGATTCTCGACTGGAATCCGGATACGAAGCGGTACCGACCCGTGATATTCACATGAATCAAGTTGATCTCCAGGACGCCTGGTTAAAGTTTCTAAAAGATTATGTCAGTCCCTTGCAAGAACATGTCTTTACAGGATATAACGACTACGTAAGATTCTGAAATTTGGGTATATGGAAGGGATTTTAATGCGCACAGATCTCACAATGGTACATGCACTCGCTAAATGCACATGGTTTAACTAACTAGGTTGTACCGCTTCGTAGCAAGTGATTGGGATCTCTGCGTTGTGTGTATGTAGATTTTTTAATTAAGGAACAATGATAACTTAAGATCCCCAAGTAACACTCGGTTGATATCTTAACTGAGACTTGATGAAAGTTTCACTGAATTTCATGTCGATTTTACGCCGCTGTGACATTACGTGTTATTTGGGAACTCAAGCGGAACAGATCACGATAACATCAAAATAACGTTAAAATAAATCATGACTGATCAAAAATGTATTTTTAATAATCATTTTGGAGTCATTTTGATACCATTTTGATGTCACGATAACTTTTTATTCTGTGCTTGGCAAATGTATCGTTCAAAGTTGCTGTAAATTTTTTTTGGAACCATATATTATACATTATTCTTATGTCGGCAGCCACCAAGGTCCCTCATGAATTTTATTGTGAGATATCGCCCGGATGAGCAACCATCCCTGAGGCCGCATCATGATTCTTCGACCTACACTATCAACATCGCCCTGAATCAAGCGGGAGTGGATTATGAAGGCGGTGGATGCAGATTTATTCGATACAACTGCTCGGTTACCGACACGAAGCCAGGCTGGATGCTGATGCATCCTGGAAGACTGACACACTATCACGAAGGATTGCGAGTGACTGCGGGTACACGTTACATCATGATCTCTTTCGTGGATCCCTGATAAAATCCTACTGTGAACCTGTAAACTATCGCTGTATTAAAAAATGTACTGCCACTATCAAAAATGAAGAGTATCAAAAGAAGAGAAAGTTAACGCGCTGTATCAAAAAGAATCATAATTGCCACTGATGGACTGAATAGTGCATTTAACAGATGTGTGAAAACTGCTTTTATATATATATGTGTATATATATATATATATAAAACCGATGTATTATTTTTATACTCCGGAAATGCACGCCTAATCGTGTTTTTCATAGTTAGTAATATTTCCAATTTATGACGAGAAATGATAAAACTGGAATATGTATATTGTGCAATATTCGTTGACATCTGAATGACCAGTTCTTTTAGTATACATAAATAGAGATTAATAATAAAATTTATAATAATAAATGTTATCAAATATGACGAGTATCATATTAACCATATTAATCTTTTCCAGCTGTTTTTTTTAGCCGAAAGGAAAAGGGTTTTAAATCTCTTCAAGAGTTCAACATTTTTGTTTTCCATTTTCTGTCGTATATCTATATAATTTTTCAATATGTTACAATATTAGGAACATCAATAGGATAAATAATTAAAAGTAACGTCACCGAATAGCAAATTTTCAAAAATTGATTTTAATTACATCCCTGCACATTTATTTACAGAGTAAAAAACGTACCTCTGTGCCAGAATTAATCGCGACAGTACACGTGTCACTTGTGCAAAACTAATATAATTAAAGCCATTGTTATTTTCACTATGGAATAAGTACTCATTGAATTCAATTGAACTTGTTACACGGGTTTTAATGCGGATTTAATTCTTTTAACCATTCACTATATTGCTTTTTTATCTCATTGAATTGTCCGGAATACAATGTGCAACTGTATTCCATCAAAAGTTATGGTTGTTCTACAATGTGCTCTTTGTTTTCTGTTTCTTCTGAAGTTCGTTAACATTTATCTCGAGCAACAGAAAACGAAAAACGGGATAAGAGGCAAAAAGGCAAGATACAAAAAATAGCAAAAAGCAAGAAACAGGAAACAAAAAGCACATTGTAGAATAGGCTTCAATCTTAAAGCACTCTCGGCTTTTAACCACTTCATGCATTTAGCGCCACTTGTGTGTATGTGTATGTATATGTATATATCCGTCAATTCTAGAATGCTACGCGGTTCAAAATAATTTAGAATGCAGCGTAAGTAAAAAGCGAATTAAACATAACATGTTTATGCAAAATACATTTCCACCAAATCTTCTGTCGAATCTTCTAACCACATCAGATATCTGGTAATCACGAATGCTATAAATTTAAATTCACAATAACGTTTAATTTAACTAAGTCTTATTTACAGTTTTTGTTCGCTTCATAGAAAAAAATGATTATATATATTATATTCATCTCAGAAACCAGCTCGTTTCAATTCATTCAACTGATGCGCCAGTTTCTCTTCCTTGGTTCGCCTAGCTTGACCTAGCTTCCGGCACTCTATGTACGTGCTGAGAAAACGCTCGACGTCGATCTTCCGGTTGAGAAAATCTTCGGCAATCTGCTCGCTCTCTTCGTGGCTCTCGTCTGCTGCTTGTCTCAAACATTCTTTTATGTGATCCGGCGTAAAAACCTCGGATAATTTGTTGTATCGTTGTATGAGATGATCGTATCTGGCTTTCAGTGCTGCCACCGTTTTCACCTTATCTGCTACATCAGCTTGCAGCTGCTTCAGTTCGGGTTCTTTGGCTGCATTAGTTTCTACAAGAAGAGATACAAGTTTATTAATAAGCAATTAAATGAGAACGTTAAATAGATACAGATTAAATTGCAGGTCTGCTCAAAACTTAGTTTGCTAGCTAAACGTTCTCTGTCTCATTGAGTGAGACAGAAAAAAGATAGATGTTAAAGCAGCCAGTCAATGGGCTAAGTTCTAGCACCTATTATTTTTGTTTTCTCTCTGTCTCAACGAGATGATGAAGAAGGAGAAGCGTTTAGCTCGCAAATTAAGATTTAAACAGGATTAATAGAAATAACAGAAGTTTTTCTACAATTTTAACATTTCAATAGTAAAGATATTAAATTTCTGTCTTTACCGGCAGTTTTTTCAACCCAATCCATAGCATCTTCGATCGCTGCATTTATATCTTTAATTTGGGAATGTTTTTCCAGAAAGTCGTCCATTTTGTCGTCATCTTCGCTGAGTTTCTTTAATTCCTCATTAGTTAATTTGTTTAATTCGGGAAATATTATGCTTTGCGGCGCTTTCACCTGCGATTGATTCGGCAACGGCTGCTGATAGTTCGCGTTCGCATAATGTGAATTTAGATAAGGCGTGCTGTGCTGATCCGAGGTATACCGCGTGGGCGTAGAATTTTGAAGCGCACTGCTCCTCGAATTCGAGATATACGGTGAGTGATGCGATGTACCGCCGAAAGATTTCGAAGTCGAGACATACGTGTGACCGGAGTTTGTATAGTTATAATTATAAATGCATGTGTTCGCATTAGAGGACGACAGATGTGGAAACTGCGTCTTATAATATGAATTAAATGACGTCGACGGAATTTCGACAGGATACTGCTGAAGCGAATAAGACGGCGAGTTTCTTCCCTGCAGATCTGTAATCATATAAAAAGTATTTCAATGAATAGGTATAGATACTAAACTCGTTTTTGCAAAGTAATATTACAAGAAAGAAAGAGAGCCAAGATGAGCAATAAAAAGGTGTCAAATAAAAATAAACAAGTTTTAGTTTAAAACGTGATAGTGATGGGACAATTTTGATTTACTGAATTTTCTTCAGCCAAAGCAAAATAAATAAATCATAATGTATAAAATATAAAGTATAATAAAAAATAAGTGAATAAAAAATTGAATAATTAAAAAATACAAAAAGGAAGAATAAAAATTAAGACCATGTCAAGTGCACTCTACAATAGAATAATCTAATAAAAATAACGAACATTATGTCAAACATATAAATACATTTTATTTTTAAACATACTATAAATATAAAATAAGTAAAATAATTGTTACATATTAAAGTATTTCATTATATCGACGCATGACAGAATAGGTAAATTAGCGATACATACCTGGGTGAGGTTTACTAGAACCAGGTGAAATATCCTCTAACAATTGTGGCGGATTCTTGCTGAATTCTCTGATAA